GAAACAGGGGCCCCGTAACGCACATGAGAGCAATCCCGGCCAATTTCTACCGTTTGATGGGGTCTATGTGTAAAAGATTTTGACTTTTTTTGGTGCACGAGCAAATCTGCCGGAAAAGCGTGTGGAAGGTTCGTGACGTTCGTACGATATTTGGCGACACAAAAATTGCGATTTCCCAGCTTCAGGGAATTCGGAGCGAGAGAAACGAGGCCCCGTGACGCACATGAGAGCAATCCCGACAATTTCTACCGTTTGATGGGGTCTATGTGTAAAAGATTTTGACTTTTTTTGGTGCACGAGCAAATCTGCTGGAAAAGCGTGTGGAAGGTTCGTGACGTTCGTACGATATTTGGCGACACTAAAATGAGCGTTTTGCCAGCTCCAGGGAATTCGGAGCGAGAGAAACGAGGCCCCGTAACGCACACGAGAGCAATCCCGGCCAATTTCCACCGTTTGATGGGATCTATGTGTGCTGGAAAAGCCTGTGGAAGTTATTTGGCGACACTAAAATGAGCGTTTTGCCAGCTCGAGGGAATTCGGAGCAAGAGAAACAGGGGCCCCGTAACGCACATGAGAGCAATCCCGGCCAATTTCTACCGTTTGATGGGGTCTATGTGTAAAAGATTTTGACTTTTTTTGGTGCACGAGCAAATCTGCTGGAAAAGCGTGTGGAAGGTTCGTGACGTTCGACGATATTTGGCGACACAAAATGGCGTTTCCAGCTCAGGGAATTCGGAGCGAGAGAAACGAGGCCCCGTAACGCACATGAGAGCAATCCCGGCAATTTCTACCGTTTGATGGGGTCTATGTGTAAAAGATTTTGACTTTTTTTGGTGCACGAGCAAATCTGCTGGAAAAGCGTGTGGAAGGTTCGTGACGTTCGTACGATATTTGGCGACACTAAAATGAGCGTTTTGCCAGCTCCAGGGAATTCGGAGCGAGAGAAACGAGGCCCCGTAACGCACACGAGAGCAATCCCGGCCAATTTCCACCGTTTGATGGGATCTATGTGTGCTGGAAAAGCCTGTGGAAGTTATTTGGCGACACTAAAATGAGCGTTTTGCCAGCTCGAGGGAATTCGGAGCAAGAGAAACAGGGGCCCCGTAACGCACATGAGAGCAATCCCGGCCAATTTCTACCGTTTGATGGGGTCTATGTGTAAAGATTTTGACTTTTTTTGGTGCACGAGCAAATCTGCTGGAAAAGCGTGTGGAAGGTTCGTGACGTTCGACGATATTTGGCGACACTAAAATGAGCGTTTTGCCAGCTCAGGGAATTCGGAGCGAGAGAAACGAGGCCCCGTAACGCACATGAGAGCAATCCCGGCCAATTTCTACCGTTTGATGGGGTCTATGTGTAAAAGATTTTGACTTTTTTTGGTGCACGAGCAAATCTGCTGGAAAAGCGTGTGGAAGGTTCGTGACGTTCGTACGATATTTGGCGACACTAAAATGAGCGTTTTGCCAGCTCCAGGGAATTCGGAGCGAGAGAAACGAGGCCCCGTAACGCACACGAGAGCAATCCCGGCCAATTTCCACCGTTTGATGGGATCTATGTGTAAACATTTTGACTTTTTTTGGTGCACGAGCAAATCTGCTGGAAAAGCCTGTGGAAGTTATTTGGCGACACTAAAATGAGCGTTTTGCCAGCTCGAGGGAATTCGGAGCAAGAGAAACAGGGGCCCCGTAACGCACATGAGAGCAATCCCGGCCAATTTCTACCGTTTGATGGGGTCTATGTGTAACAGATTTTGACTTTTTTTGGTGCACGAGCAAATCTGCCGGAAAAGCGTGTGGAAGGTTCGTGACGTTCGTACGATATTTGGCGACACAAAAAATTGCGATTTCCCAGCTTCAGGGAATTCGGAGCGAGAGAAACGAGGCCCCGTGACGCACATGAGAGCAATCCCGGACAATTTCTACCGTTTGATGGGGTCTATGTGTAAAAGATTTTGACTTTTTTTGGTGCACGAGCAAATCTGCTGGAAAAGCGTGTGGAAGGTTCGTGACGTTCGTACGATATTTGGCGACACTAAAATGAGCGTTTTGCCAGCTCCAGGGAATTCGGAGCGAGAGAAACGAGGCCCCGTAACGCACACGAGAGCAATCCCGGCCAATTTCCACCGTTTGATGGGATCTATGTGTGCTGGAAAAGCCTGTGGAAGTTATTTGGCGACACTAAAATGAGCGTTTTGCCAGCTCGAGGGAATTCGGAGCAAGAGAAACAGGGGCCCCGTAACGCACATGAGAGCAATCCCGGCCAATTTCTACCGTTTGATGGGGTCTATGTGTAAAAGATTTTGACTTTTTTTGGTGCACGAGCAAATCTTCCGGAAAAGCGTGTGGAAGGTTCGTGACGTTCGTACGATATTTGGCGACACAAAAAATTGCGATTTCCCAGCTTCAGGGAATTCGGAGCGAGAGAAACGAGGCCCCGTGACGCACATGAGAGCAATCCCGGACAATTTCTACCGTTTGATGGGGTCTATGTGTAAAAGATTTTGACTTTTTTTGGTGCACGAGCAAATCTGCTGGAAAAGCGTGTGGAAGGTTCGTGACGTTCGTACGATATTTGGCGACACTAAAATGAGCGTTTTGCCAGCTCCAGGGAATTCGGAGCGAGAGAAACGAGGCCCCGTAACGCACACGAGAGCAATCCCGGCCAATTTCCACCGTTTGATGGGATCTATGTGTAAACATTTTGACTTTTTTTGGTGCACGAGCAAATCTGCTGGAAAAGCCTGTGGAAGTTATTTGGCGACACTAAAATGAGCGTTTTGCCAGCTCGAGGGAATTCGGAGCAAGAGAAACAGGGGCCCCGTAACGCACATGAGAGCAATCCCGGCCAATTTCTACCGTTTGATGGGGTCTATGTGTAAAAGATTTTGACTTTTTTTGGTGCACGAGCAAATCTGCTGGAAAAGCGTGTGGAAGGTTCGTGACGTTCGGACGATATTTGGCGACACTAAAATGAGCGTTTTGCCAGCTCGAGGGAATTCGGAGCGAGAGAAACGAGGCCCCGTGACGCACATGAGAGCAATCCCGGCCAATTTCTACCGTTTGATGGGGTCTATGTGTAAAAGATTTTGACTTTTTTTGGTGCACGAGCAAATCTGCCGGAAAAGCGTGTGGGTCGTCTTCCCCTCTCGACAACGGAGGCAAGTAACCCACGCCAGGCACTGTCAGTAACTGCCATAGATCTGCTTTAAAAATTCCCATTCGTCTTGCGTCGCTCACGTTCCCGGAGCTTTGGGTAATGTCTGAGGCCTATCCCCGCCAATTTCTACCGTTTGTCGGTAGCTGTCTGTAAAAATATAGCATGCACCAACACGAGAAAATATTTCCATCGCACCTGCACAAGTGTATGGACAATGGCAATCTTCATGCAATGCATAAGTGGTGTGTGGCAGCAGGTTTTGTTTCCCAAGGTTTCCGTGAATGAGCGAGTAGCTTGAGCTGTGTGACTCAGCCCGAGGAGCCTCTTCTCCTCCAGAGTGTGTGGGGAAGGCTGTCCCTTGGGTAGGTGCTGCACGGGTTCGCTGCGCTGTTCGGTCTTGTGCCAAGGAAGGCTGCCAACTGCGCAAGAATTAGGGTTGGTTGCAAATTGCCTTTGCCGGTCCAGAGAGTAGCGAGCATTGTAAGGCCGCTCTAGAGGTTTGCAGGCATGTGGGGTCGACCCCTGCTCCTTCCTCCCACCCCACGTAGGGTGTGTGTGGTGCGCTTACAGCTGCCTCAAAGTGGCTGGCCTTGTGGGAAGCCCTGTGTTTTGTGAGCTTTCAGCACCGTCAGGTTGCCAAACGGAGCATACACGACAACGCGAGGCCCTCCTTGTGGTGGTTTGTGTTGTGTGAAGGTGTGCGTGGGGGTCCTGTCCGTCCGAATTTTGGACGCGTGTGGGGACTCTCCTCTGCCTGGGTGCATGCTTGCCTCAGGAGAGTGACTCCTGCCTGCCCTACTTGGGCAGGCTGGGGCCCGCA